GGGAGGGGCGCGCGCTGCGCAGCGGCGGGAGGTGGGCGAGCACCCCCCTCGGCCGGGGAAGTTCTAGAAGTGCGGGGGAGGGGCCCGGTGCCCCGCGATTCCTCTCTGGCCTTTGCTCGGCCTTTCCCAGGGTAGTGCTCTGCGTGGACGAGGCCGGATCGCGAGGGCCTGGGTTTCGGGGCTTCACCCACACACACCTTTGGCCCTGCCCCGCGCCTCTTCAGCCCCCGGGGCCGGGCCTGCCCTCCGCCCCTACAAACTGGTTCCTCTGCTTTGCCGGGTTCTGTTAGAACTAGTCCCTTTGACTCCCCGTTTCTGTTTTTTTTCCCCCCCCGCTGGGGTTTTGGTTTTCGGGTTGGGAGGAGGGGGTTTTTCTTCCTCCAACTCGCACCAGGTTTCCTGCCCCCGAGGCGGGCTTGGGTGCCCCCTCTGGCAGGAAGTGGGGCCGGGCGCACCCGCGTGGCGGTGCATGTGGTCGGGGTGCGCCGTTTCCCGCGCCTGCAGGGCCTGCGCCCCTCCCCCTCGCCCCAGCGCTCAGACCGCCGGCCTACAACCGCCAGGCCGGGACACTGGCGGAGGCACCCTGGGTCTGGAGGAGAGGGCGCCAGGGCCTTACCCTGCCTCTCCTAGTAAACAGTGTCGGTTTGTGAGCACTCTGCAAGGACCCACTCCATTTTACCAAGTTGCTGTGTGACCTTGGGCCACTCCTGGGTCTTCTCTGAGCTATTGAAGAAACAAAACAAAACAAAAACTAGCCGCGGACCTGCCAGGATATTACTCCGCTGGTTATTCCTGCATAGTTCCGTAAACACTGAAGGGCCACAGTGTGTGCACCCCTGTGAGGAGACGGGCTGGAGACCCTAAGGGCGGCTTGTGCGAGCCACCTCCCTGATGGTCAGAAACAGGTGGAAGAGATGAATGTTTTCTTGACCTCACTGGACAGCGACTCCGAACTCTTAATTCAGTGGGGGGCGGGGGGAGCAGGTGGTTAAAGACTCCCTCCCTAACGGTAAGGATTGGGGAGGCACCGGGTGGTCCAACAGTGTCCGGGGAGGCCGGCCAGGATCTCCAGGCAGGCTGGGCCCATGGTCTCAGGATTGGGACTGGCTTTCCCCCGCGACCCCCCTCTGAAGGGCCTCCGGCAGACCTCTGTGAGGTCAGCGCTCATTTAGCTGATTAATTTTGATGTTTGGTTTGCAGGAGACCTGTGGTGCAATGTAAGATTCTAATCACGGCCTGTAATTAGAGAACAGACCGAGCCACTAATGATGACGCTGGCCCAGCCACCCTCTTTAAAGGGGTCTCAAGTTTGAGATATTGTAATAGAATAATTAGCAGAGTTCTACCATCTGGAGAGTCTCTTCTTGATGCTTGAGGATTAGCAACCGTTAAGTGTTTTCAAAATCACAAGTTTCCAAAATGTTTTCCTGTCATTGGGTCAAAATTAGCCGTTGCCTCAAAAATCTGAAAAGGGGGTTGGGGGCACAGCTTCCATGATAAGAGCACACCGCCCAGCAAGCATTGGCACTAGGAGCAACCTCAGCTAACTCAGAAGGAGAAGCCTGGTCCCTGTCCCTTCACTGGCTTCTGCCCTCGTCGAGGACAGGCTGTGTGGTCCCTGCCGAAGTACGGAGTGGAGTGTCCTGGGCCAGTGACTGGAACTTGTCGTGACTAGAAGATGGATCGCTGGCTGGCTTGTTTGACCCTAAGGACAGGCTGCAGGCCCTCTTTGTGGCTCTGGCTCCCTCTCACACACAGGCACGCATGCACACACGCACACACATGGGGTGTCGTCCTGGACCTGGGGAGTCAGGCTTTGGAAGGGTCTATCTGAGAATCCGCCCTTCCCCAAGTTGCTGTCAGAGCACGTCCAGGAACTCAAGGACACCCTCAGCTCCCCCCTCCACCTCCGTCCATTGCCACCATCTCTGGATCTTGGGGATGTGATGGGCTCTGGCATTTGTTCCGGTTCTCAGGCTTGGACCTGCTGGGTGTAGCCATTGGCAGGATGGTGGGCAGGGGCTTCCCTTCCAGATGCAGCAGCTGGCTGGGGGTGGGGGTGGCTGTGAGGAGCCACCTCAGCTTGCCACCCCGGGCAGGGTGCTGGAGAGGGGCCTTCGCCACCATGGCCTCCTTGCAGTGCGCCTCGGGATGGTGACGGGTAGTGTGGGGCAGTGGTGGCAGCCCTTGTGTTAACTGACCACACTTTGTCTCCCAGCATCACAGCCGGTCCCCCTTACTGCCCCGTAGAGAGGGAAGATGAGCGAGTCCAGCTCAAAGTCCAGCCAGCCTCTGGCCTCCAAGCAGGAGAAGGACGGGACGGAGAAGCGAGGCCGGGGCAGGCCGCGCAAGCAGCCTCCGGTGAGTCCTGGGACGGCGCTGGTAGGGAGTCAGGTGGGTGACTAAAGCAGCCTTGCTTTCTTTCCTCTCTCGGGCTAGGGAGGCACCTGGCACCGCAGCAGGGTGTGACCGTCCAGGGAGGGTACCCAACTGCGCGTTTCCCATCCCGTGTGTGCTCATTGCCCAAAGCATTCAAGATGGCCCTGGAGAACTGCCACAGGAATCGGTGTCAAGCGTCACAGTATGGCGGGCCACCCGTCCTCACATCCTTAACATCCACCCCGGAGAGTGGAGGCAGGTGTGAGGCACAGGCAGGAGGGTCAGGAAGGTCAGGCCCTGCCTTAAAATATTTGGTTATTTTTGCCCTGCCCAGAATGGAGACGGGAGCCCGGCTCTTCCCCGGCCTGTAGCTGGACAGAGTTTTAAACACATAATCGCACACTTGTCGGGTTTCTGCATCCTCACTCTCCATTTCTGTCTGCTGGGAAAGAGTGGGGGGTGTTTGTGTATGGGCACTGAACCCCCTGTGTGAGGCCCCTGGGAGGGTGACCAGCAGGCTGTGGGCTGTGCCACCTGCCTGGCTCTGCACTGGATCTCTCCGCTGTCTCCCAGTAGAGGTGGGTGAGTCTCCAGAGCAAGCGCAGGGACTAGACCTTGAGGCCAGCACCCGGCCGCACCCTCTGCTTTGCATCTGAGTGCTGGACCAAGGCTGGCTTTGGTTTTGTCTGAGGCAGTTTGGTGGCCCAGGATGGCCTCATTCACTGTACTCCTGGCTCAGATTCTTGGGTGCTGACATTGATTATAGGTGGGAGCCCCCATGCCTGGCTTAAAGCACAACCTTGTATTCTGGCTTGGGCTGAGCAGAGGTCGGGTCTGGGTGTGGCTTGTCTCCTGGGGAGGGCCCTCCTGTCTGAGACAGGAGGGGTAGTAGCTGCAGTGGTGGCCAGTGCTGGACACTGGCTTTCCTGTTGACTTCTTATCTCTCTTTGATCTGAGAACTTGAGAGGGTGGGGGCCAGGGGCTGGGCGACGGTCGGGCAAGTTTGGAGTCCTCGGGGCTTCTGTGGACGCCCAGGCTGGGGTAGCGTCTTAGGGGCACAGCTTGGCCGTCCACATGTCCCTGACGGCCACACGTCTTTGCAGAAGGAGCCCAGTGAAGTGCCAACACCGAAGAGACCTCGGGGCCGACCCAAGGGAAGCAAAAACAAGGGGGCCGCCAAGACGCGGGTGAGGCTCTTCTCCATGGCGCCGTCCGCGTCCGCGGCGGGGCTGTCAGTGGAGAAAGCGGGGTGCCCAGGACTGGGGGGAAACCAAGTTGGGAGGTCTAGCCCTTTAGGTTTGGAGAAATCAAGACAGTGAGCGTGAAGGCCTGTGCCAGATCTGGGCTGGGGCTGTCCCCATTCATCCTGAGGATACCAGCATGCAGGGGGCCAGAGTCACAGTGGCATTGGGCTTTCCAAAAAGTTGTCTTTGTTTTTATTTCATTATTTTTTTTAACACACGACTCATATCCTCTGAGTCACTTGTGGAGGAGGGAGTAGGGGGGTGTGTATGTTGGATATGGGGGCGTGGGTTGGCCAGTCATCCGCAGCTGGACTTGGGTGGACCTGCCGGTGGTCCTGGGCTGCCTGGAGCCGCTGCCATTGCCCTCTGGAGTCTGTTGAATACTTTGGACTTAGAGTTGTTTTTTCTGATTCTAGAAAACTACCACAGCTCCAGGGAGGAAACCAAGGGGCAGACCCAAGAAACTGGTAGGTTCTCTATGGGGCCTGTGGTGGGGGGGCATGTTAAGAATGTCCCCAGTGTGGCCAGGGATGTTGGTTGAGCATGCATGAAACCTGTTTACATGAGCTTGGGTCATCTTCTGCGTTAGAAGATCCCTTGTCTCCAGAAAATAATTCCTGATGTATGCTTTGGCCCTCAGAAAGTGCCCTGTGCCCACATTACCCCCCTTATTAGGACCCTCAGGGAAAGACCAGGAAGTGCAGATCTGGACAGGGAAGCATGTCCTACGGGCCCCTTCCTGAGTGGGGGTTACTGCGGGGGACCCCCTGCCTCTAGGATACTGTGGTCTTCACCCTGTTTCCAAGCTGTCCAAGGCAAGGTCATTCCTTGAGCAGAGCCACCCCTTAGTGGAGGGGCTGGGGGGGCCCTGCTGGCTAGCCCCCAGGAATGAGTAACAGGAAACTAGTTGTTTTGGAGTTTGCCTGGCACTGTGGGCCTTGTGGTGTCCCAACATTCCGGTCCAGTGAGTGAGCCCCTGGGGTACACACTTCCTTCCCGCCCTGGCTCACAGGTCAGCCGTTGGCCACCCCAGGCCTTGCCTGCAACAGCCCCACACCTGCCCTACGCCCCCTAGTGGCTCGCCCCCCGTCTTTCGTCTCTTGCCCATCAGCCCCCTCCCTGGGGAGCTTGCCACTTGCTCAGCACAGGCCTGGGCTGGGTGCCTGGGCTGGCCAGTGTGAGAGCTGCTGTGCGAGAGAACAACTGTGTGGTTTTTCTCCTCCCTTTAAATCCTTCATTTTTATGAATGAAAGCAGCGTGGAGGTTGCTGAGTCACCCACACACTCAGCCCTGACTCATCCCCTTCTGCAGAGGAGAGCCTGGGAGGGAGGGGTGTTGGCGGAGGAGGAGGGCCAGGCCCAGAGTTGTTCTGCCCTCCCACAGGAGAAGGAGGAAGAGGGGGGCATCTCCCAGGAGTCCTCGGAGGAGGAGCAGTGACCACGCACAGTGCCGCCTGCTCCTTGGCCATCAGAGGAGCAGCCTTCCCCCCCCCGGGACTGGAAGCCCCGCTTCCAGGCCCCCCCCCCCACGGCACACTACCGCACCAGCTGCAGGCTCTGCGGCCCCCCGGGAGCAGGATCTGGCTCAGTCCCTGTGCCCTCCTCCCCAGCACACCTGCCCTCTCCCGACAAGGCTGACTTCCCGTTTAGCCGCAGCCCGTCCTGCTGCGCATCTCCCTTAGCGACACGGCTCTCTAGGCTGTCTTGCAGGTCCCTTCCGCTCTGCTCTTCCTGGCTTCCTTGTAGAGGGTCCCGGGAGCATTCCCCGGCCTTAAAGGGCCCCAGCCCGTCTCGCTTCTGACAAGCCCCACTGGCTGACCTGGCTGCAGTAGGTGCGGTCGGTGCAGGGATGCTTGGATCCCAGCATGCCCCACCAAACTGTCCCAGGTGGGGTTCTCAGTCGCTTCTGCTCCACCTGACCCAGACCCTGCACTAGGTTGGCTAAAGCCCCTTGAACTACAGGAAGTAGGGCACGATGGCCCCACCCACCTTGTTCTCCCCTGGGACCCAATGCAGTGACATGGGAGTCCCCACCCACCTCCAGGGTGGGGTCCTATTCTCTGGCACCCACTTAAGGCAGATGGGGCGCTAACTCACCCCCCCACCCCCACTCTAGGCTGCTTCCCTTCCTCCAGTAGGGCACTAAGGAGCCAGCCTTGCCCCCGCCTTGCTCCTCCCTGCCCCCCAAGGTTCTGGTTCCATCTTTTCCTCTGTTCACAAACTACCTCTGGACAGCTGTGTTGTTTTTTTTTTGTTCAATGTTCATTCTTAGACACCCACCATTGCTGCTACCAGCACCAAAAGTTCATCCTCCCATTCTGCCTGCATTCTCCCCAAGACACTCTAGGGGAAAGGGGGGCTGGGGCGCAGCAGGCCGGTTACCAACCACCCCGCACCAGGGACAATGGGGCCCTGCTGCCCCTTGGATGCTGCAGCTGAGTGAGGAGGGGGCCCATTTTGATGGGAAAAGGGTGTAGGCCCGCTTTCTCCCCTTGTTCTGTGGGGGAGGGGTGGCCAGTGTTTGTCCCGGCCTGGGGCTCCCCTCTGGGTTTCCTATTTGCAGTTACTTGAATAAAAAAATAGCCTTTTCTGGACTGAGTTTCTGGTGTGTCGGGCAAGCAGGGCATAAAGCAGTCGGGGTAACGGATGCTACAAGCAGCGGCCCTACCCACACTCAGCAAGGGTAACTGGGAGCCACAAAAGTTTATTTACAAAATATGTACACTGGATACTATACATCTGGGCCTGTCGCCATGGGAACGACTCCAGAGGCCTCTTGGGTTGCGCCCAAGGTCCAAGCGGACCCGAGAAAGCAAAGCTGTCACCCAGCCACCCACTCCGCGAGGAAAAACCCATCCGTGCTTGGTAGGCTTGGGGCCGGCCGAGGGCGTTCTGAGAATGCACACCCCTGTACCTATCTGGGTGGACAGCAAGTCACGTCTTGATGTCGAGCAGGGGCACCCGCTTGTGCTGGTAGCTGCTCTGCCAGCCATGTACCACCTGGGGGGAAGAGAAGAGCATGCAGCTCCAGCCACCCTGTCGCCCAGTGTGTCAGGGGTACCTGGCTGGTCCAGTGAGGGCAGAAGGGTCTCCCGCTGAAGTATGATCCAGAATTCTCACCTTGGGGTCCCCCACGTCGGACAGCAGCTCCTGCTCCGCCTCGTGGAGCTCTTCTGCGGGGTCATAGCTGTACATGGGAAGCAGGTGATGGCGAAGCCGGTCCACCCTGGGGACGGGAGGGCAAGGCTCAGCCCAGCCCCAACCCTGCTCAGACACTCGAATTTGGTGTCTGCTCCCCTCCCTCAAGCCAGAGATACCACTGAGCCATAAAAGGGCCTCTCCAGTGACAGCCTGGAAAGGGGAAGCTAGGGTAGAGGGCACAGCATGGGGGTGGGGGGTTAGGACACTCACCGCTTTTTCTTCTGCACATACATTACCTGTAACAGAGACACGGGACTGTGGAGGCTGGGGAGGTCAGTATGGCCCATCCTGAGGACCCACTTCCACACCCTTAAAGAACAGCTGAGATGCTGTGGGCACCAGGCCAGGCCCACCCAGAAGTTGCTTTAGCCACATCTGACGTGTGGGGGCTCCTTACCACAGCCACCACCACCCCGACCAGGGTGATGAGGAAGAAAGGCCCCAACACATAGCCCACCATGGAGTCGCTGTTGGCCTGGGGGGCATTGGGCACTGTCGTGTTACTCATGACATCGGTAGCCAGATGGCTGAGTGGTCTGCATGAGCAACGGTGGCCTCGGGAGGGCGCCTCCCCTGGGCTCCCTGGGGAGAAAGAAGGGAGGTTACCAGTTATACCTATAGTGACAAGCAGGTTTGCATCCTTCCCCGAAGCTGGAGTGGAAGTCGGGGAACACTTAAGGCCCAACACTGGGGTGAGACACCCAGGTAACCAAGGCTCTGAGCACCAAGGGTAGGGCCCAGATCCCAGCCAGGCCAGCCTGCTTCCTGCCCGGCGCTTATGCACACATGAGGGTGTGGCCCAGCTCAGATGCCTGCTAGACATTTGTAGTTGCAAGGCTAAATGGAAGAGAAATAGGAGGGCCCTGCAGGGCGGTGACGGGGTCCTGGCTCTGTCCCCATGGTACAGGCTCCTAAGCTTCAGGCCTGGGTTCTACACCCTCCTTGTCCCTGATGTAGCGTTAGACACCGTCCTCAGCATCGGTCTCAGGTACCAGTGTGGACACGGTAGAGATGGACATCATCTCCTAGATGATGTCACCTGCCTCTAGTACACCCGGGGCTCCTCCCACGTCCCTCCCCTCCCTGCCAGGGCTGACAGGCAGAGGTGGAAAGGATGGCCCCCATCGACAGAAACAAGGTAATCCTGGGGCGGCGGCACCGAGATGGCCCAAGTTCCTGTCCCGGAAGAGGTACGGGCTAACTGCCCCAGATCCGGGGACCAGTTTTGCCAGTTCCCAGTCGCGAGCCACAGGCCGAGGGGGCCAGAGCCGGAAGGGTATGAGGCCGATCTTAGGATGCCGGCCTGCCACGGCTGGCAGAAGGTGGTTCCCACGGCGCTGGGAGGCTCGGGGCTTGGGGTGGGAGGGCCTGGAGCATGCCGAGGGGTCGCTGCCCGCCTGGGCACCTTGGCACCCCGGCACCCCGAGCTGCCGGGTGCTGGCGCGCTGCAGCCCATCCAGCCCGGCCATGCCTTACCTCCCGCCGTGCAGCCCTGACAGCAACACCGTGGGTTGGCTCCGGCCCCGGAAGAGCCCTCCGGCGCGTGATCAAAGAACCCGGAGAGGAGGCGGGGCCTCGGCGCCCGAGACTTGCAGTGGCCAATCCGGAGGCGGGTGGGCGGGCCTGCAGTGTCTACGCCACGGCAGCAGGGGGCGGCAGAGGGCCGCGCAGCGGGAAGGTTGCCGGGCGGCGCGCTTTGCGGGCTGCACCCAGGAGCCCCGTGGTCACGGCAGAATCCCGGCGACCCGGTCTCTGCGAGAGCTGGCGTGCTGGGCCGTGTCCGGGTGCTCGGGCGAGGGCCTCCCTCCTTTCTGTCCCCACGTCTGCGAAGCTGGGGGTGTGAAGCTGAAATGATGGCGTGGGACTGGAGTCCGCACATCCTGTAGCGCGAATGTTAAGCTCCTCTGAGCTCTTTCCGGCTTGGGGGTGGGTGGGTAGAGCAGCGAGGTGCCGCTTGTTTGGGTCACGGGCACTTGGTAAGCTCGGGTCCATACTGTCATGGTCTGATCATTACAGTTACTCAGATTGGAGAAATCTGAGTAAGATCAAGTTTGGGCTGGAGGGATGGCTCAGCGGTTAAGAGCACGTACCGCGCTTACAGAGGACCCCAGTTAGGTTCCCAGCACCCGTGAGAGGCACACAACCATTTCCAGAGATCCAACGCCCTCTTCTAACCTCCACGAACAAGCGGGTGGTACAGGCAAAACACACAGAAATCAAATCTTTTTTTTTTTTAATTTTATTTATTTATTTATTTATTTATTTATTGGTTTTTCGAGACAGGGTTTCTCTGTAGCTTTGCGCCTTTCCTGGAACTCACTTGGTAGCATAGGCTGGCCTTGAACTCACAGAGATCCGCCTGCCTCTGCCTCCCGAGTGCTGGGATTAAAGGCATGGGCCACCACCGCCCGGCTCAAATCTTTTTAAAAATGGATGGGATTCAACTTTCTATTCTTTGGGGGGGGGGAGTGATCTGTCTGTGACAAAATCTCACTGTGCATCATCCCTGGCTGGCTGTGTAGCTCAGGACAACCATGTGCTTTTTGTGAGCCTCCCGGGTGTTGGGTGGGCATGTGTTGCCATGCCCGTCTGCCTCATGCAGCCCAGACTAGTCTTGAACTCCTGATCCTCTTGCCTTCAGGTCACCACCTGAACGCTGGAACTACAGGCTGCCGGAATGCTAGCCAAGCATTCTGCCAGGTGAGCCAGCTCTCCTTCTCCCTCTCCCACCACTTCTCCTCCCCTCCCTCCCTCCCTCTCATCTCCCTCTCCCCCACCTCCTTTCCACCTGCCAGCGTTGGGATTAAAGGCCTCTGGCATCACACCGACAGGATGTGTGTTTACTGTGTGCGAACCTACACTTACTGTGTGTATTATAGTTTATGTATGTATGCATACAGTTCTGCATTAGACCTCTTCCCCCACTCAGAGTGGCAGGTGATTGGAAGACTCCAGCCTGGGTTGAAAGCCATCTAAAACTGGTGGCAGTCAAACAGGCTGAAGCCTCCTGGATCATCAGGTGGTAATGAGGACAAGGGACAGCCTAGGTGCCCCCCCCCTTTTGGTTTTTCGAGATAGGGTTTCTCTGTGTCGTTTTGGTGCCTGTCCTGGAACTCAATCTGTAGACCATGCTGGACTCGAACTCACAGAGATCTGCCTGCCTCCCAAGTGCTGGGATTAAAGGCGTGCACCACCGCCGCATGGCTAGGTGCCCTATTCTTGCAGAGGAACCCCAAGGGCAGCTGTGGGGTGCCCAGAAGTAAGTTCACTTCCTACTTCCTGCCTGGCAAGGGTGTTGTGAGTGAGTTGCTCTGGCTGGCTGGGCCTGGATTTCCTCTGACCCTCCTTTCTAGAGAAGACTGCATGAGGAGGGCAGGTCCAGCGCAGAGGCCGCCCCAACAGGAAGCATGGGGTAGATGGGAACCTGGACAAGCTCTTGCCTCAGACACCACCCTGACTGGGGATGATCAAGCAAAGGGAAAGACTCAAATCCCTCAATCTCCATGGAGGTCCCAGGCAACTGCTGCCACCTTCAGCAAAGAGACAAGACACCTTAGGCTTCTGTCAGACCCTCAGGGATGTCAGAGCAAGCATGAGATTAGGGGCCCCCTTGGTCGTCCACATACCCAGTTTGTCGATCCTTGGGAGGTTTCACTGAGGCTGTTATCCTCAAAATCTCCAGCCTTCTGCATCCACCTACAGCATGCTATGATTACAGCCATGCCCCACAGGCCCAGCTGCAGTTAAACATCCACATGTCTGGAAAGCACAATGTGTGTGGTGTTGCTAAGGATCAAACCAGGCCTGATACATGCTTCAGGTACCTTCCATGAGCACCCTGCCACTGAGGGACATCCCAGCCCTGCTCCCTACCCAGGCTGCCATCTGAGGTCAGTGTCGGGGTTTGTATGACAACATCCAAGGCCCTACCCACTCTGTGCCCTTTTTACCATACTTGCCAAATAAACCAGAAAGCCAGGAAGGCTGGGCTGTTACCAGGAGACATCACTGCATTCCACAACAAAGCTCGGCAAGGTCCAGGCCGGGAAGGCAGAGGTGGTGAGCGGTAGGCATCCCTTACATGCGCTTTAGGGGCCAGGGTTGAAGCTCAGTACGTGGTACTTTCTTAGGGTATGTGAGGTCCTGTGTTCCATCATCCCCAGCAGCCCCCCAAAACCATTTAAAAATACTTGGAGGAGCCGGGCATGTTGGCATACATATTTAGTCCCCAGCTTTCAGGAGGCAGAGACAGAAGCAGGCAGATCTCTGGGAGCTTGAAGCTAGCTTGGTCTACATAGAGTTCTAGGACAGCCAGGGCAACATAGAGAAACCCTGTCTCAAATAAGTAAACAAAAGAAAAAATTGGAGGTATTGCAAAGAAGCTGGAAAATAA